AAAAAAAAAAAAAAAAAAAAAAAAAAAATTTTTTTTTTTTTTTTAGAGCTTCCATTAGGATTCAGCTAGAACAACTGTCTGAACAGTATCTCTTGTGTCCCTACCAGTCTGAACAAAATTAGCAATCCCAGAGGCAGCGCTTCATTTCATTCACTATAAGAAACAGGGATAACTCACTATGACAGCTATCGGCTTCTCGGTAGGAATGGCAGATCATCTTGAACGGACAGATAAAAGGTGGTAGGAGGAAGGCATTATATACATTTATAATAAAAACAAAGCTGAGGAGGAGAGCCTTCCCCCACCTCAGCCCTTGGAAAATCCCACTCCCAGCACCAAGGTATTAATTATACAGCATTTATTCTCAAACATGTTTATGTGTTGACTTATTTGAATAAGATCTGAGTTAACGGTCAAAGATATCTTGCATTTTACTTACCTTGAAGTCTGCCCAAGATTCTTCCTGAACTTGATTCAAGTTTGTGGTCAGCATCAGCTGGAAAGATAAAGCATATTTCAAAATAAGCGTCAACGAGCCTATTCTGAAACAGAGTGCATTTTCTGATACTGAACCAGGCTGATCACAGTTGAGAGAAAAATTGATATTGTCCAGTTTCATGGTTAGGGTAGATTTATAACTCATGGTGGGGAAAAAAGACATACTGTTTATTTTCTATATGTCATTCCAGACATTAAAGATGATTAAATTCTCAGTCAAATCTGAGAACCACTCTCTCAACTGCTGGCTTTTGTGATTGTGAAGACTATAGTTGGAGAAGAAGAACTTAATCACTTACACTATCTGGACATTTATATTTCAGCACATTGCAAGTTGTAGTAAGACATGCCAAACAGTACTATACTTCTGTTCTCATTTGGACATGCAGGTGGTACAGTTTGCTCTTGAAACACTCTAGATCCATGGTAGACAGTTCAAAGATCTCCAAATTTCTTGAGCTACTGGAAAATGATAGTGATTCCCCCATTGCAAATCCAAAGGAAAACAAAAAACCACAACCAAGTTGTTTTTTCTACACACTACTTTGTATATACTCATTAATCAGTGTAAAGAATTTGCAGAACTAAGTAATTTGTTTTTACCAGTATTAATATATTGTAGATATTTAACAAAGTCCAGTTTTATCAAAATGTTCCCATCCACTTAAATTCAATTACTTCAAAATGCACTGAAAGGAACAAATCTGCATGCTGGGAGATGGACCGGTAGATCTAAGAGGTCTTATTCATATCTGCTTTCTATAATAATATAGCCCTCTGGAGTGTTTGCATATTTAACACTAAAAAAAATATATCACTCATGCAGTATTACTTTTCAATGCTGAACATTTGCAAGCAAGACTTTCTTCCACCATTATCACTGCACTTCAGACTTTATGAATTTTGTGTGAGGATTTCAATTACATTGGGTCTGTAATAGTGATGGAACTATGTTATTTGCACAGTTCATGTATATTTTATTTTGTCTATGTTTTACCAGTTTTTTTTATGCCATACAGATAATCCAGGAAATGAACATTTAATTGCTACTTCATGTGACAGTTTCAAAGAAAGTAAAATGTGTTATAATAGGTTAGTACAGTATAAACTGGGGACAACGTCACATTTTTAGCACTATAACTACTCATTAAGAAGGTCACAGCTGGATTTCAAAGGGATGAGGGCACATACATAATGGAAATGCATGTATGACTCAGAAAATGCACGAAATAGAAGTGAACTACCATTTACGTTCCCCTCAGACATTTTTTGTTAATGTTTGCAATTTGTTTATTTCTGGGAAATTCTGTAATATCGTTTATATCTTTATCTGTCATTTTTTAAAAAAAAGCTGCACTTATTTTGAAGAAAGAAGTATTCTAAGTGCTCCCAATGTGAAAAGGATCTCTAAGTAAATTATACATTGAATTTTAAAATAAAGGATTTATCTAAATCAAAATAATTGTAATCAGAAGGCTCTTTCTGGGATTTCAGAACCAGTTTTACCCTGATAGCAACTAAAGGGAAGATTTAGAAGGAAATACTGAAAAAGTGGTATATTAAGGTACAATAATAAAAGTATTTGCAGATACAGTCGTTTGTGGATGCCAACACAGGATTAGAATGCATTGCCATGGTAAGTGTACACAAGATTAAATACAGACAACGGGACTCTCTTCATAATTTCGTCCCTGCCTGTTCAATGATGTCTTTGAATAATAAAAGTCTCTTGTTCTGGAATTTAAGAGTTATTCATGGTTACCTCCATAGACCCTTGTCTTCCTCCATCGAATAAATACAGCAATTGCCAACAGGACAACAATAGGAATAATTAGAAGAGTTGTAATAAGAACAAAGGAAATTCCAGGACTGGCCTGTTCGACCATATGATGTTTTTCCCACTTCTTTGGAGACTCCGTTGAAACAGGTTTGTTTTTCAGTTTGGCTTCTATAACTGTCTCTGCTTCTTTAAGAAAAGAAGAGAACTGACATCGGTATTTTAACATTTCAAGCAATATGCTTGAAAAGAACATGCTAATGCACCTGAAATTTTCAGTAATTAATAACAGGCACCATTAAAGCTATAAAATGACACTAACAGGATTTCTTAGCTACTGCTGGTGTCATCTCAAGAGCCATGCAGGGGGGTAGAGATATAACTTTCTAAAAGTATGAGAAGATTAGAGTATGCTCTCTCTATTTCGCTAATATTTGCGGTTCGGAGGATGGAGACGGGACAATTGTCAGGGAGAGTTGCTCCTAAAGAATTCCAACATTTGAATGATGGGAAAATCCTAAAGCATTCCATTGTTACAACAAAGCAAGGCATGACATTACTTTCTCAGTAAAATATCCCCCTACGTTAGCTGCATAGACCCTTTTGAAAGTAACAAGCTACATTTTTGTATTATCAAGAATAAAAAGGGAATGTATTTGTTACAGTCCTTGAAACAATTAACCCAGAGGGGACATGTATGCATGTTTGTGTAAAACATTTAGTCTGTACAGAGCACTTGCACTTTGCGAGATAGGCTTTAATTGTGTTGTGGTTGCATTTTATCCACAACTTTAGTTTTGTTAGAATTATGCCATGTGAAATGATTCCACCAGTTCATTTCCTTTTTCCTACAGTACCATGGAGGAGGATGAATGGGAAAAGGAGGCTGATGCTATTGGTAGACTATAGTTATCAAGGAGGAGCATGTGCCATACCGAGAAGGGAGCTGGATAATATGATCCCAAAAAGGTTCAATTTCAGCTGTGATGTTTGATATGTGTGTACTGCTAGTAAATCTGTACAGCTGGTAATGTTTTGGATGAACTCCTATAAAACTATATACATTTCAGTATTTTCTACCAAGGATAACCAAGTAAAGTCCAGAGAGTTCTATAATGCTGTGAGTTCCTTTCATCTTTAATATGGAGATGTGGCAGGCAACAATTACCTGGTCCCAGCATGAAATGAACCACTGAAACTTCTTATGGCTTGTCACTGGGGCATTTGTGAGAGTTACCTACTCTTGAGTTAACTCCTCATGAGTTAGTTGTTGTCGAGTGAGAGCAGTCACACTGTAAAATGGTCAAGCTGCACAGTGATTGGATTAGCAGCTCACTCAGTAACCAAGTCCCCACAGCTTTACTAGCTGGAGCATCAGCAGCACACAAACTTCAACCCACAGCCCCTGACAGGCCAGCTGGCTTGAGTTTAAAGCAGCAGTTCCCAACATTTTCCCTGTATGACCCCATTTTCACATGTATGGCTTCCTGCGACCCCAGACAGCATGGAGGACGCCATTTTTAAATGGAGTTGTCCTTGCAACATGACCTCATACGCACTTTATGTGCAAAGTCAACTGCAGCATGCTTTACAAAATGGCGTCCTCCACACAGTGTGACCTCGCGCACACATGGTGTGTGTGAGGTCATGCTACATGGAGGGTGCCATTTTGTAAAATGGCATCCTCTGAACACTTGGGATTGCCGCAACCCTACTTGGGATCATGACCCAAAGTTTGTGAACTGCTGGTTTAAAGTATCACTTAACTTGAGCTAAAATTTGTGTGTGCACAGGAGTCAGGCTAGTGGCAACACTTCAGTTATATCTCAAGCTAGAACTGCAGTGAAGACAAGTCCTTATTCTCAATGGACCACACTTCTGTAATGAAGATGAGAATCATTGCAGACTGTTCAATTTTGTGTCTAAGTAGATGTTGCCTTTCAGCTCCCGGCAAATTCTTTATGTTGCCCTCACTTCGACACAGCAGAGTTGGTATTGGGGACAGCCACTGTGACCAGAGAGGGGACTAAGTTCTAGTTTAGCTCCCAGGAAGTGTAAATCAAGATATTTTAAATAATAATAATAATAATAATTTATTTTGTTTAAATTCCATTTTCTCCATTTTTAATAAATCTTGTTTTTATTAAGCCTACTGTTTAGGTGTGTCCCAGGAGAAGAGTACTCCACAACTTCTATGAGGAGGGGTTGGAGGATAAAAAGTTTCTGGAACCTACATCCTCGACTCAATCTTGGTCAAGGAGCATGGAGAGAGGAGTCCACTCCCAGTGCATTGTGCTGCCATCAGGCTGCATCAAACGAACACACCAGGGGAGAAGCCAGAAGAACAAGAAGGAGGGTAAGTTGGTGGAGGTGTTTGACTTGGGAACATAGGGTGAAACTTCAAGCAAAATGAAGCCACAAATTCTGTTTGGAACTGCTTCCTGCCTAACCACAACCAATAAATTCAATCCTCTTTTGTATTCTGAATACTTCAATTCATCCTGGAAAGTATATTCCCAGTTAAGTCACACAGCAGCCTTCTCCTTCCCAATAAGGTCCATACTGTGCCCTTTAGCATTATAGCAATGGATAGACTGATCTAGCTTATGTAAATCTCACTGATTACTTGACTGCTCATTGGTAACAAATTACAAATTAGTGACTAATGAAAGGAAATAGGATTTAGGCTCTTTGCTCACTTGGGTGCATTTGAAAATTTTACTCTGATTCTAGGACTGTATTTTGTTGCCACATAAGATTAGAAAAGGAGTTTCTAATGAAATTCTTTAAAAAAATTAATTTAAACAAATTTTGCAGGAACTTTTATGGCATATTTTTGTGAAACATTTTAAATTAGTAAAAACATTTAACTTCATACTAATATCATGGCCTCTAATTTATTTTATATTGTTTTAAACTTAAAAAAACAACAACAGATGCATCAAAAACCTTTTCTGATACTATATTAGATAAATTTAAAAGCCTGCTAAATGTCATATGAACATATATATGCATATGTGCAAAATTATATTGTGTGTTTTGTGAAATGCTCTCTTCAAGTTTTGTTATGTAGTGAGTCTTCACATTTATGTTGCATGACAGAGAGTGTCTGTGGTGGCTTTTGTAGACCTTTGGTTGCTCAGGTAGCAGCTATGGTTAAAGGCATTTTTCCCTAGTACAACCTTTCTGATTGAACCAGTTTTCCATATTTTTGTCTCATTTTGAGATTAGACTACCGTAATAAGAGCACTCTACCATCTGTAAGTTGTAGCTAGTGCATACCACATCAATCCACATTAAGCAGAACATCACACAGAAAGCATATTATAGCTATACATTTTACTCCCGGGGGAATTCTGTGCCACTATGTACGCGCAAAATTTATGTCCCTAGCAGATTTTATTTTCTCAGCAGAATACAGATTCTGCTGAAGAGATGCTGCATTTACACCTTTCACCCACCAGGGGCTGCTGTGGTGCCAGAAGAGAGGGCAGCCAGCCGGTGGAGAGGCTGCATTCCTCAGAGCAGGGACAGGTGAGGAGGCACCAGACAGAATGGAGCACATGAGGCTGCTGATATGGGGTACAGAAGGGCTAGTGGGGGAGGACAGACTGGGGCATGAGCTCAGGAGCTAATAGGGTGACAGCATTGAGCCAGGGGCTGAATGGGAGGGGGGAGGGCTGAAGGGCCCCATGGGGACAGGGGATATGGGTGTAGGGATTCATGGGTGCAGGGATTCATGGGTGTAGGAGGGGGAGATTTTTGGTAGCCCAAAGTCAGTAACATGCCTAGACCACTGCCCACAGCTGACATACCAATTGTTATGCTCATTGCTGAAAGCAGCTAGAAAGACAGTTGCTGAATCCTTAGCACAACTAACAGACCAGGATGGGTGGGGGAAGTGAGTGACGAGGAGTAAACATGACCCAGTGCCCTCCTGACTTGAGTTTTTGCTGAAGCATGCAGTTGTGCAAAATGAAAAATCTGGCAATAGTTAACTATTGCTATGTGAAATACAGCTGGTTAACTGATGGAAAATTCCCTGCCCGACAGGCTGGAAAACTCCACACTTAACAAGCTATGTAATACTAACAAATTGGGTATAAAAAGAGGAAGAGATCTGAGCTCAGTGGACATTTGAATACTTGGGATATTTTGGGACACCTCTCAAGTTCCCCTGCAGATGGAAAGCTGGCCACTGGAAGTCTACAGATATCCACTCAAGACCTTGGGTAAATATTAAACAGGGGTTAATTTGGGGTACTCTACTAACCTGCTGCGGACATGTGTAAGTACTCAAGACTAAATAAAGTAGAAGCTTTGAGTGAAAGCACCTTTGTTTGCCTGCTTGCATCAACTATCTATTGGCCAGAGGTGCCGTGTCCCCCACTGATTTATTTCCTGCCACCACCTTGCAAAGAGTAACATTACCAAGAGCTTTGGGTTCAGAAAACCCCGGGGTAACATGGAGAAGGGGGCTGCAGACACACATTGGGACATGGGGTAGGAGGGTGCAGGGACACACGCAGATGGGGGCAGATGTGCCTGACTGAAATGGGAGAGGCTAGGGGTCAGCCAGGGCCTGCATGGGGGAGGCTACCCAACTCCCTACAATCCCTTCCCACCCCCCACAAAAAACCTGTTCCATACTTCTCCCATCCACACACAAGCACCCTCCAGGTTCACTCCCAGGATCCTTCCCTCTCTCTCCCCCAAGCCTTTGTACTGCTTCTGAGGGGTGCAGGAAATATGTTTATGTAGTGTAGTTTAAATGAATTACACAAAGTTCTGTATTAATATGTCTAGTAAGGAATCTATATGTCAAAAAAAATTCCTAAATCTTTTTTTTTGTCTGTATTGTTACAGACATACTTGTTGACCGGTATTTTGAAATAAAATACCAAAATAATTGAAACTGACGTGATTATATTGTGTTATTTTGACAAACATAATATGCAGAATTTTAAAATATTGTGTGCAGAATTTTTAATTTTTTGGCACAGAATTCCCCCAGGAATAACATTTGCTGCCTATTAGCTTCAAGGGGGACGCTAAAAACTATTGGCTTTAATCTAATGTACCCTGAAGTTGCATAGCAAGTGGTTACTTGAAAGACTCTCTCTGAATCTATGTGATACTGCTGAAATATTCTAATCTAGATATTCCTGATTAAATGAGAGGTGGCAGCTAGCAGAGTACCTTTTACCAGTGCTGCTATGGGCTTTTCACCCTCATCTGCCAGAGCCTGGATTTGTTGCACTTCCTTGCATGTTTTTCTGCTGAGTGCTTTGGGTGAGACTGTCTGATGAGAGAGGAGGATGCTAGTATTATCGTGTCTTAAAGGCAGTCTACTTCGTACTAATATGTTTACATTTGTTGATTTTCATGCTGTTTGCATATTTCCTTTTATATCTAAAGTCTGGTGCTCTGAATTCTGCCAAAGAAAAATAAGTAAAAATAGTATAACTACAGTCCATTAAGATACCCCAATAACCACACACCATTTTTTTTTAAAGGGGAAATTACCACTTCTTCTGTCTAAGAGACTTGTGCAATAGACTATTATAATTTTAAAATAGTTCCTCTTCATCTACCTTAAATCATTATCTTACCCCCTGTCAACCTTGTGCTGTATACGTTTCTTTACCTGCCTATTTTAAGTCCCTACATTCTTTTGATTCTTTTCTCTCTTTGAATTTATTTTCACCCTGCTATTCTGAAAAAAGGGAAAAAAAAGTAAATCTGGAGGAACAAATCTGAGCAAAAGAAAATGCTTTATACCATCCTTAAAAATGTAACCAACACTGCCAATGTGCTGTACAGACTCTAAACAAAAAGAAAATGGAATCAACAGTTATTTCAAATATGTTACTATTTTTTTCTGGATAATTGAGATAACTACATACCACAACTACTTCTGCAACTAGTAGAGCTGATGCAGATGCTATTTTGTGGATAATGGAGGGTCATACAGGACAGTCCACTGGGTAAACTTCTATGACACACTTTTCACCAGTGAAGTTGAAGTGTTTGATTCCACCATAATATTGGGTCTACCAGAAGTGCAACATGCTACCCTATATCCCTTCCCATGCTGGCTCATTGTAACTCTGAACTATAGAAAATGACAGCAAAAAAATTAACTACTTTCAGACTAGTTAGCATTCCCTCCCTGATATTTTCTGGCAAGAATATTTACAAAGCACAGAAATGCTTTCCAGTACAACTTTGGTATGTCCATTCCCATAAGGAATCTGACTAACCTTTTATTTCCTGCACCTCGATACCAGCCTTTTTAACTGATCGATGCTCCATTTCTGTAACACAAAATTGCTCTTCAGGCCAACTGACATTTTAGAAAGACTCTTGACATCTTTACCAAATGTACAATCCTTTAGCAAATATCGCATTTTGTCTGAACTTCACCAAAGAGCGTCAAATAACTATCAGTATCATCAGAATCCTATGAAAGCATGAGCGTGATTCACAAAGGCAGTTTTCAATAATGTCCAACTCCTATGCCACAGAGTGGTTTTGTGGGCGCATAAGAGCTCATCACATCTCATATGATTAACATGGTTGGATTTAATTAGTAATAAATGGGACATTACCAGGGGAAAAACCTAAACCCTGGAGGAAGGTGCTGGGGATATAGTAGGTAGTACTTTGCCATTAGAGGCTTCATTGAATCAATACCCCTGTATGGCATTTGGGGCATTGTGATACTGGAGGTGGAGTCTTTCAGGTGAAAGAAATAATCCAAGGTTCACTTATTATTAAAAATCCTATAGCACTTTGCACAAGAGTTGGGGTATTAAATCTAGTGCCTTGGCCAAATTCCGGCATAGCAATTCCATTCTGCCCACCCAAAGTTACCTCTGAAATTCCAGGGGACATTATTCTTCACTTCCTGCCCAAAACTGTGTGGCAGCTGCTACACAATATGAAACAGCCACCACATTCTACCTCAGAAGGGGCTGTATTTCATCAGTGGATGAAGTAATTCTATACATGCAGTTTGCAATACGGGTTATAAAGCATTTTGAGACCTTCGTGGATGAAAAGGTTTTACATAACAAAGATAAATCATTAAACAGTAGAAGTGTCATCCTATCTGAAAAGGCACATTCTGAAAGATTTCACTAGTTCCAATTTCTTAACACTATTTAGGGGAAAGAGGAGGAGGGGAATCAGTGTCTGATACTATGCTAACATGTGGTCTTGGACAGGTGGGTGAGGACCAGTTTAACAATGTTACCATAAATTAGATGCAAATCCCATCTACTAGATGGATATCACTTGTAGTTATTAGAATTCTATACTTCTAAAATATAAACAAAGTCCCTCTCCTCAAACCTCTTAGCCATGTTGACTGAACTTGTTAGTTGTGTGTTTTTATAAACCTTAGCTGTTCCCATCTGGCTGTGAATGAAAGTTTGAAGGTCCTTCCTGTTTGGAGTTATTCTTCATAGGAAGAGACATATCCAATCAGACCAGTGGTCCAGCTAGTCCAGTGTATTGTTACTAACAGTGGCTAGTACCACATGTTTCAGAGCAAGGTGCATGAAATGTAACAACTATGGGGAATAACCAGATCAGATGGAAAGTATATTTTTAATGGCAGACAATTAGTGGGTGGCTTTCTACATTTTATACATTTTCATCCTATCTAATGTAATGGTGGATTATATTGTTATTCCTAGAAAATGCCTAATCCATTTTTTAATTCTGCTAAATTCAATGTCTTACTCAGATCATACTCACCTCATACCCCTGAAGTCAAACTGAGTATAGTAAGTTGGGAAGTATTCCCAGTTAATGGAAATATAACAACCTCTAAGTAAACAGAGGGCATTGTCAATAAATGATACATTAAAGAACTGGAAAAAATTAATCTTAATCATTTGTTTAAATACATACAAATGATGCAACAAGAAAAATACTCACTGGAATATACAATTTCGTATGAAGCTCTCTGACAAATTAATCTGCCCAGGATTCATATTTGATATAGACCAGGAATTAATGTTACAAACGAATGGTAAAAAGAGCAGCCAGTTTTTTGTTAAACATGCTTATTTTAAGCAGTGAAATGTGAACGTGAACATGGAAAAAGAAAATTCAACTGTTTAGCTAAAGCAATGAATCCAATTCTTAATTAATCAGGGGACAGACAATGGACAGGGGATGTCAGTCACTGAGAACATGGTTTCAGGGAAGTGTCTTTTAAAGTTCAAGTCAAAACAAAAGCAACATACTTTCTGTGGAAGTGAACTTCCATACTGTTTTGGCATGAACATCTCCAACATACACCGTTTTGTCTTCTGAAGCAACAACGTCATGTGGCATCTCAAAGCTCTGTCAAGATAAACAGCCACAAATAACTTCTGAATGACTACACAATGAATTAGATCACAAATGCAAAAAGCCTGTTTAATCAAAAATTTGAGATACAGAGCCAAATTTAGCTCTCATACAATGGGAGCTATAGCTGATGCTGGTGCCACGCCTTAAAAGGAGAGAAAGAGACAGGAATTACATCTCCATCAGGTGTTCACTTCCTCCAGGGGCAGTAGTTATTGTCATGATTTATAGAGAACTTAACATGCCGTACATTGTACAGACAATTCAAACCTTGTGATTTACACATTTTTTGCACAGTCCATTTTTGTCAATATTTTGATTAAACATTTAAAGAACTGAATGTGGATATTACTGTGCTACACAATTAAATTAAAAGCTAATTTGTTTACAAATATAGTAGATGGACAAAGGGAAGGAAAAGTGGCGAATATGTATAGCCATCACATAAGTAGAGTGCACATATATTTTATAGACATATATATGCACTAAAGTAGAAGCTTTTTATGTATAAACCTCCACATACACCTCTACCGCAATATAACGCTGTCCTCGGGAGCCAAAAAATCTTACCGCGTTATAGGTGAAACCACGTTATATCGAACTTGCTTTGAACTGCCGGAGTGCGCAGCCCCGCCCCCCCCGGAGTGCTGCTTTACCGCGTTATATCCGAATTCGTGTTATATTGGGTCGTGTTATATTGGGGTAGAGGTGTATTTGTATAGGCAACTGGGATTTCCTAACTTTTGAGTGCTTGACTTTACAACCTTGATGATATTTTAACGTAGGATTTTGGACATAAGACAATATACTTCATCACTATCACAACTGTAAGTATTGATACAGAGTCACTTACCCTCTAATAATTCTAGCAAGGTGCATACCAAGTGGTTCGTTACTTTCAAAGCAGAATAAAATTAGTAAACTAAGAATTGGGCCCAATAGCTGTAAGCCAACAATATTAGTTTGCCTTCTTTTCCAGAACGTCTCCATATATTTTTCAAGTCAGCAACTGTCCCAATTACTGCACATTCTCAGCAGCATGGAAAATGCCAAACCCCTTCACTGCCTCCCTATCTCCCCCACCCCCCCATGCAATCTTTCAAGGATTGAGATATGGGAGTGAAGAATGAGAATGTTTCCCATGTATTTGGGAATAAGAATCATGAGGCTGATCTTGTCTCCTACATGATAATGCATAATGATATCCACTATGTCATCAGGCTTAGCTAATTGTGTCTGAATATTTGAAATAAACAATTATTTCTGAATATTTTACATACTAATATATTATCAACTGTTGCAAACAACTGCATATTTAACTCTTGGAATAGATGGATGAAGGGCTCCTATGTTAACTAGGGTTGCCAACTTTCTAATCACACAAAACTGAACACCCCTCCCCGCCCCATGCCCTGTGGCCCTGCCCCACCTCTTCTCCGAGGCCCACCCCCACTCCCTCCATCCCCCCTCCCTCCACTGCTCACTCTCCCCCACCCTCACTCACTTTCACCGGGCTGGGGCAGAGGGTTGGATGTGGGAGGGAGATGCGGGTCTGGGATGGGGCCGGGGATGAGGAGTTTGGGGTGCACGAGGAGGCTCCAGGCTGGGGCAGAGGGATTCGGAGTGTGGGAAGGGGTCTAGTCTCCAGCTGGGGGTGTGGGCTCTGGGGTGGGGCCGGGGATGAGGTGTTTGGGGTGAAGGAGAGGACTCAGAGCTGGGGGCAGGGGGTTGGGGATGGGGCAGGGTGTGGGCTCTGGGAGGAAGTTTGGGTATGGGAGGGGACTCCGGGCTGGGGCAGGGGGTTGGGGTGTGGGAGGGGGATTGGGGTCCTTGCAGTGCTTACCATGGCTCCCAGGAAGCATCCGCCAGGTCCCTGCAGCCCCTAGGCGTATGGGTGGCTAGGGAGGCACCACATGCTGCCCTCGCACCCGCAGGTGCCGCTCCCGCAGCTCCCATTGGTCGTGATTCCCGGCCAATGGTAGCTGTGGAGCTGGCTGGACTTTTAACGGCCCAGTCGGCAGTGCCAACTGGAGCCGCCAAGGTCTGTTTTTGACTGGGCATTACAGTCGAAGACTGGATGCCTGGCAACTCTAATGTTAGCATGGTGGCAAAAATTTTAACTCCTAGCTTCATGAAGTTGCATAATTTACTAGAGCAAATTATTAATAAATAGTTTTGTGTCAGATAACATACTGTGTGAGACAAAGCAGGGTCAATATCAAGGTACATAACAGTGTTAATTCAAGTCCATCTCGTAGCTTCAAGCACTAACTGATTCTCATAAAACCCACAGGTAGTGTTTTCTGCAAGTGGTAATCTCTTCCAAGTTAAATAGAATGGGGGAGGCGGGTAGGGTGGAGGAGAGGGAAGAGGCTGAAACAGCGGGAAGGAAAAATAATAAAATTGGACATTTGGCCTTTAATCTGCAGAGATCAGTCTCTTCTTCTGTTTGGCTTTACACATCAAATTAGTTTCTTGGCTGGAACGCTATCCTTAGTGTCTGTAACCTAGTTAAATAAGGGACTTCCATGAGAAGCAATAAGCTGCTGTGTGCTGAGTAAATTCTAAGGCAGTACTTATGTGTTGTGCAATTTAAAACTCGTTTACTTAGGGGAAAATGGAAAATAAAATAATTTCTTTTTTCCATTGAAACTACTATTGCAGAATTTTCAGCAGCAAGCCTGATAGCTGACTTTAGCAAAGCTTTTGATACGGTCTCCCACAGTATTCTTGCCAGCAAGTTAAAAAGTATGGATTGGATGAATGGACTATAAGGTGGATAGAAAGCTGGCTAGATTGTTGGGCTCAATGGGTAGTCATCAACGGCTCGATGTCTAGTTGGCAGCCAGTATCAAATGGAGTGCCCCAGGGGTCAGTTCTGGGGCCAGTTTTGTTCAACATCTTCATTAATGATCTCGCTGATGGGATGGATTGCACCCTCAGCAAGTTCACGGATGATACTAAGCTAGGGGGAGAGGTAGATATGCTGGAGGGTAGGGATAGGGTCCAGAGTGACTAGAAAAAATTGGAGGATTGGGCCAAGAGAAATCCGATGAGGTTCAACAAGGACAAGTGCAGAGTCCTGCACTGAGGACGGAAGAATCCCATCCACAGCTACAGGCTGGGGACCGACTGGCTAAGTAGCAGTTCTGAAGAAAATGACGTGGGGATTACAGTGGACGAGAAGCTGGATATGAGTCAACAGTGTGCCCTTGTTGCCAAGAAGGCTAACGGCATATTGGTCTGCTTTAGTAGGAGCACTGCTAGCAGATCGAGGGAAGTGATTATTCCTCTCTATTCTGAACTGGTGAGGCCATATCTGGAGTATTGAGTCCAGTTTTGGGGCCCCTACTATAGAAAGGATGTGGACAAATTGCAGAGAGTCCAGTTGAGGGCAACGAAAATGATTAGGGGGCTGGGGCACATGACTTATGAGGAGAGGCTGCGGAAACTGGGCTTATTTAGTCTGCAGAAAAGAAGAGTGAGGGGGGATTTGATAGCAGCCTTCAACTACCTGAAGGGGGGTTCCAAAGAGGATGGAGCTAGGCTGTTCTCAGTGGTGGCGGATGACAGTCCAAGGAGCAATGGTCTCAAGTTGCAGTGGGGGATGTCTAGGCTGGATATTAGGAAAAACTATTTCACTAGAAGGGTGGTGAAGTACTGGAATGGGTTACGTAGGGAGGTGATGGAATCTCCATCCTTAGAGGTTTTTAAGGCCCGGCTTGACAAAGCCCTGGCTGGGATGATTTAGTTGGGGTTGGTCCTGCTTTGAGCAGGGGGTTGGACTAGATGATCTCCTGAGGTCTCTTCCAACCCTGATATTCTATGTGCTCTACCCCCTACTAACACTGCCCTCAAGAGTCAATCCCCCTCAGAGCTAAGACAGTTTCATGAGTCTTGCACTGAGGAGCTATCGGCGCAGGAGCGAGACTCCTTTAGAGATATCTTTAGAGAAGCAAATGTTGTCCCTGGCTTACATGCCTTTTCCAGATATCTTTCACATTGTTCAAGACACAGAAATCAATTGATCCCTCATTGGACAAATATTCCTATCAATGTAAGCACATCTTCTCTCTCACTCCTCAGCTTTAATTCATTGTCTTTCGGACTAATTTGGGAATTCTTATACTTACAAAGAGGTCAGTCTTAGGAACCTTATTTAGGATCAGCTTCCTGTTCACCAGCAAGGAAATAACTGTCATATCAAGCCTTTTCTGTTCCAAGTGAGTACACTGGAGGCCTGGATTAAAGGGTGAACTAGTCCTGTTGGGTTCTGAAAGTGATCTATTTCCTTAGAACTGATCAATATATCCTTAACCTGAGAATCCCAACAATGATCTGCTATACATAGAGAAAAAAGTCACACTAAATATACTGGACCATCCACTGATAAGGGACAATTATCCTCAATCTCCTGAATGGGGTGGAGAATGATGCAAAAGGAATGATATAAATATTCACTACAAGCGTAGGTGCAGTTATCTTGTCAAATCACTAATAAATATAAGATCTCCCTCCCCCACGCCAAACTCTTTTAGGTTATTTGTCCCTTCCTAGGGGAAAGGATGCAGATGAGTGCTTCACCTGCTTTTATTTGTAAGAACCTGAAAAATGTTCTTGTATGAAGAAATATTGACTTTGAGCTTAAATAGCTTTCATTCATCTACATCTCTGAAGATATTCCTGGGAAAAAGAATTACATCATTTCACTACAGGATATTTCTGAAAGTTGTGCAAATGGTTTACTATGCAGGCTCAAGAACCAAATTTTCAGCAATCCCCTTTAAGTGTGCACGAAAAGTTTGCCGATATAATTAAGGAAGTCAGCTGCAAACTTTGTCCTGATTATCAACATCCACTCCCTCTCAAAAAATAAAAACATCTCCACAGTTTTATAAGGTCTTTCTCTGCCTGGAAACACTAGTAACACAAAAATTAAAAAGCATAAATTACTGTATGGCATGTTTCTAAACAGGTTTGTGTAAAACCATGAATGTTGGTTTCAAGCCAGTTTATTTTTATTTATAGAATTGTGTATACGCGCACAGCAATTTATGAATACTGAGAAAGACAACATTTGGCACAGCTTAAAATAGGATTGCAACAAATAGGGTATGATACACACAATACTGGCAACTTCTGACACCCCTTCTTTGATTTACGACAGGCTATGAGAACTTTTAGTATATTTAAAAATAACTTTAAATTACAATATTACTTGAGTGAAAGTTCGGTATCCCATAGTTCTACACTGGTCTTCTGCAAGGAAGGCATGTAGTCACATTAGATAAATTTATATCCCCAGACAGGAGTACTATTACTGTTTATATTAGCATATTATTACTGTATAAAAAAAAAGAAAAACTCTGAACCTCTACCCTTTCCTTAAACTAACTTGAAAGGCGCAGCTCAGTTTGGATAAGTCACCCATTCTCGTCTCTGACTGGCAATATCCACATGGCAATTTAAAATGTCAAGTGCATAGTATCTACTGAACCTTGGACAGCTGCTGTATTGAAACTTGTATTGTTCTGGGGTTTCACCTGATCAACAGTGTGCAAAGGATGCCTTAGAGTATATGAAGAAAAATTACAATACAGTACAATATAATACAGCAACCTCAGACCCTGGAATCATCCTGCTAAACTTAAAAGTTTGTATGAAGTATGAGGGAGTTAGACATCAGTGTACCCATGTGCTAAGTCCACCAAGAACACTGTGAAATACAGTACCTTTCTAACGGGAATGAAAGTGTCCATTATTTCTCCAGTGGAAAAATTCATCATAAATCCTTGCACTGGTTCTATGTCTCCAGGATACGGCACTCCATTAACTGCAAAGAGCAGACCACCTGCAACAACAAACACTCATTCATTAGTGACTTACAGATTATTTTCTTCTATTTACAAAATAGCATAGATGAAAAAGTTGCCTCAAAGAGACAGAATCAGAAGCAACTATAGAAGAACAAGAGCTCCAGACACAATGAAACATTTATTTAAATTGAATTAGGGAAGGTTGGAAGCTGTGTAAACCAATAGAATGGAACAGGAAAGTCCTTCTAGGTAGTTACCTGCACATCACCAGATTCAGAATGAATAGAGGAAGGGAAAAAGAAATAAAAAAGAAGCATACCAATTCCCTGAAAGTTTGAAATCTAGCAGAAATGAGCTGGAGCTCTTCCCTGAAAAGATGTCATCTGTAAGCATTTAAGGGTCAAAAGAAACAAATCATCTTCTTTACCCTTTTTTGCCTTTTAAGCTTAATTTAAACAAACAAAACAAAACACCCTATTTTCATAGAATCATAGAAGATTAGGGTTGGAAAAGGTCTCAGGAGGTCATCTAGTCCAACCCCCTGCTCAAAGCAGGACCAACCCCAACTAAATCATCCCAGCCAGGGCTTTGTCAAGCTGGGCCTTAAAAACCTCTAAAGATGGAGATTCTACCACCTCGCTAGGTAGCCCATTCCAATGCTTCACCACCCTTCTAGTAAAATAGTTTTTCCTAATATCCAACCTAGACCTCCCCCACAGCAACTTTTGTCCCAGCAATGGGCTGGTTTGGTCTGGACTGTCAGAGTAAAAGACACCAGCTGGCACCCTGTTCAGAGCCAGGGTGTATGTGTGTGAGAATGATGAGAGATGGGGTGTCCGTCTACCATAATGGCTAATTGGCTACTTCGAAGGGTGCTGTGATGGCAGATTGGTTCCTGTGTGCTCATGTGAGAGCACAGATGATCCTCTCAAGCCACCATGCCACTTGGCATCCTTGCTTCCAGTTGTCTCCAAGACAAACAAAAACACACTTATGATCAGGTTGGTTGCTTCAGCACTTTTCTAGAGCTTTTACACTTCCAAATCTCTGAACTGGCTCTTCAGGAAGCAGTACTTCCTGTTAATGGATGACAAGAAGTGCTGTTTTAAGCATGGTGGATTCTCTCCCCCTTTTGGTTTATTCTTTCTCCTGTTTTCCCCACCTTTTTATTTTTCTTCCTGTTTTCTCTTTTCTACTTCCTTCTCTGGTTATTTTGCTCTAATCATGGTCATCTTCTTTTACCCTCCCATTTCTCTCCTTTCATTCCCAGAAACACCTCTCTTTCCTCATGCAAAAGAAGCAACACATGCCCATAATTACAGCACAAATAAAGTGATGAATACAGATTTCAAACCTGGTATAGAATATGGAACTGTTTAAAAACCTTAGAAAGTATTAATGTCTACTGTTTACTTTGAGTTTCCAGGCCTCAGAATGTAGGCGGTACATAAGACATCAAACTGGAGTTTTTTTTTTTTTTTTAAATAGTAGCCGAAGAAGAGATATAAATGCCGTCACAATCCAAACATCCCTGAACTCTGGATCTAACTTTTTACTTTGCTCCCAACATAAACATACACATTTGGCTACTAAGGTGTTTTTTTTTTTTTTTAAGTTTTGGTATTTAAAAACAGCAACATCATAATGAAATATTTTTTTATTCTCTGATTTTTATTATTGTTCTCTAAGAAATTTGACAATTTCTTTTCCTGCTGTTTGGAAATATTTTTTGCTGTTTCTCTAATGGAGCTTGTTATTTGACTGTGCAACCACGAAGGTAAAAAGTGCAAACAATATTGTCTATTTGTTGGCATTACATTTAAGGAGGCTAATTTCTTCATAATTTCTCAGGAATGGAAAGGTAGCTTTTTTACCAAAATTACACAGTTGCAAAAATCTACATGATAATTTTGAAACAGAACACATTTTTGGCCTAAGATATGTGATAGTCTCTCAATGAAATAATATTGTGTGTTGTGATATCGAAGTGATTAAGCATATATTAAATGTGAAAAACATGAAAAAAGCCATTACCTGGAATATATGAAACTGCAAATAATTCTCTTCCAAACAATTTGTGTTTGATTTCTCTTGTGAATTCTCCTGTTTCTGACCTAAAACACTGAATTCGTCCATTTCCCCTGTCTGCTACACACAGCTGACCAAACTCAGGTACCAGTGTTAAGCTGTGAGGGATTCGGAACTGGCCAGGTTTGGCTTTGCCTACTGAAGTCTCTGCAAAGAAAATATCCAATACATTCACAATCTGAAATAATCATCTTTGTCTAGAAATAGTGTTATTCTAAATTTTGCAATATAACTGTGGGAAAAAGAATACACGTGATTCTCATTCTCATTTTCACCAAAATTTTAACACTAAAAGTAAATGGAGTTACTTTCAATTTAAACCACTATAAATGAAGAGGAAAAAAATCAGGCATATATGTTTGTACTGAAGTTACTTACTTCACCATAAATGCTTGGCAAAGAAAAAAGTTTCATATATAATTTCTTGATTTAAACAGGGATTTAATTATTTACAAGAATTGAAAGGACTATGTCAAAGCTTAATTAGAAGTTACCACACCTCAGAATTTTAAGTTCTTATTCAAGCAATATTTTAAAAAATATGTTTATGAAAATAGAGGCATTTTATTGATAACCAAGTAAATTCATGTGCATAGTTGTTCTGGAAGTGTACACACAGTCTTTTCCTTCTGCTTTTTAAAAGAAGGTGTGTTTAAAAAAAATCTACATATCAGTGTATAGAACTATGTATGATGGTATTCAAAAGATAAGAAGGCCCTGATATCCAATCAGGGCCTGTGAGCATTACTGTAACAGAAATAAGTACTAAATAATCACAGTAAACAATCTTACATATGCTACATGTAATAGTTCATGACCACAGCAGTCTCAGTAGCTAGTTAAACATCAAGAGCTTTAATCAGTACCTTCCCCCCACTGCATGATGAACATTCCGTTTGGAGAGAACACAACAATTCGGCTGTTACAGTAGCCATCAGACACATAAATGTTGCCTGTGACTGGATCCACGGCCACATCGGTTGGTTGACAGAAGTGATTTTTGTCACTGCCTGGTTGCAAAGACCTTCCCAGGATCAATAAAGGTTCTTTATCATGTACTCCCAATTTGAACACCTTTTGTAGTCAATGGAAAACATAAGAGATTTCAAGTTATAGAAAGTGATGCATGATAGCTAGTCCAGTATAATCGTGATTGTTTAGGGAAAGTATATAAATCTGCTCTATAGAAAGAACATTTTTACATGCAAATTTATTTTATTAGGCTTTTTATATATATATCGCTCCAATGAAGAAATCCATCATCAAGAATATAATGGTGTTGATTCTGGAAAAAATCTCCATAAAATATAAATCATCAGCAATTTCAGCCAATGAGGTAGCTGAGCATTGAATGCTTGTCTATATAGGGAAATTGACCAGCATAAGTTATTCTGCTATAGCAAAGTAATTATTTTAGAATTAAGTCACTTTTATTCCACAACAGAGTTTCCATACAAGACGTTATTCTGGAATAATTTATTCCGCTACAGCTACTCCAGTGAATTTCCCCATATGGACAAGCCTTTAGTGTATATCTTAACAGCCACAATGTAATAATTTTATCAAGCCTTTAACAAAATAAAAGTAATGAGATCACATACAGTACTTCTAGAAAAGCATTACACATACCTGATGGAGAGCTACATCAGTGACCCAGTAGTTACCATCTTTATCTATACTCAGTCCATGTGGTAAATAAAATCTGCAAACATAAATTTAAAAGAACTGCGTTTAAAAAAAGAAAGTGATGTGGCAGATACTGTTATAATCCATGACCGGTCTATTATCTATCTTAATATCTAATTTTTTCCCAAAAGCAATTCAAGATTTTGCTCATCATCTACAAAGCCCTGTGCCACTACTACTATCTAAGATCCTGAGATACTTCTATGCCCCATTGCTGCAGACAGCTGGAATGCTCTTGTTGTCAGCATACAAGGTTGAAGTCATGGGCAGCTGGACTTTCTTGGTAAAGGGCCCTTAGCCCTGGTCCTCACATTCAATCTCTTTTGCCAACAAGGGCAGCCTTTACGATGCTGTGCCAGACATGTTTTCTCCATACAAATTTTTGTTAATTTGGGTCAGTAGATGAAGAGTATTGATTGTTAGGGAGTGGAGGGAGGCAATGGCAAAGTTGGTTTTCATTCGTTGCCCGCTGTTGGCAATACTGGTTGATTTTTTAATTTTGTTATAAATGAACCCAGATGTGAAAGAGATGAAATGTGACATAAGTCTCAGAATAAACAAATATATGGATTAAATTCTTCAGGATGAAATGTAGTATACAAAAATATAAAAGTTTTATTAATAAAAGTAAATACAACTTACAGATTTTTGCCTGTGGAATCAAGAACTTCTGCATTACTTGGGTCTATTACAAGAATTGTGTTCTGTTCAATTGGTCCAAGTCCTCTTTGTTGATAAACAAAGCTACTGTCAAATGAGCTATAAAGATATATTGAAATACAAAGTGAATATGTTAGAAGTTTCAGTTCACAAGAAAGATACATGACTTATAGCAGAACTTTGTAGACTAATAAGGGAAAACACCTAAATTTTGTAGGTTTTTGTGTATCTTCTTATACTTCTGGATTATCACTGAAGCCTTTTGGATGCCAGCTCTTCTCACGGATGTCATGCCCAGTGACAGTGAATGTGTGTAATCAAAATGAGCAGATACAACCAAGACAATCCTGTATTTTCAATCATTGTTAAAAAAGTGAATTTCAACTTCACTTTTTATTTTCTTTGTAATGACAAAGAGAATTTTTGTTGTTTCATGCCTCTCGGAGTACTCATGAAGATAGTTGCCAAGAAAGTCTTAAACCTGAATTGTTAAACTATGTTAATTTATGTAAATTTCCTATGCACTTTAATATTCTCGTCGGTGTTTATTACAATAACACCTACTTTCTTTTTCTCCTTTTCAGAAAATGTTTGGTAGAAAAGCATGTCATACTATGTACATGTCCCCTTTCCTACAACTGCACCCCCAAAACAACTTTAAGTGTACAGCAAGTAAATTCAAGAACAAGCAAGATTTAGTTCTGCCATCTCAACTTTTAACCCAAAATTTAGGGAGCTAAGATTTCTTATATTCACAGAAGGCATAGTATGAGCCACTTATATAAGATCAAATTTCCACATGCTTAACCAAGAAGAAAGTATTAGTGTATGTAGCTCTGTCTATAAATTGATTTCAATAAGTGCTTCGCATTCAAGGAAGCTAAGCACTAATGGTATGTGTATATAAGTGGAATTCTTTGAATCAAAATTTTAATCTAATTAGGTGTAAAAAATATAATTTAATTTTTGACTAAAATGTTTGAATATACTTGAAATACTACCACTTTTTTTTTTTAAAGCAGTTTCTTAGTCCCTACTGAGTTCAATCCAATTGTGATCAATACATTTTGGCAAAAAGGAAGGTACTTTACAAAGTTTCAGACATGGCTGTGAATAAAACTATTAATACTCTATACATTACAGCATGAGCAGTATAAATATTTAATGTTATGGGGAAGTTATCTGTCCACAGTTTTCTATTTGGGAAAGTGATAGACTACTCAGATCTGTCTCACATCCATTGATTAGTTGGTTGATTTGTTTATTAAGTTTATGCACAAACCACAATTAGAAAATCTTTAGGGTTATATTAAAATGTACATCATGCTATGACCTGACACTACTTGTTATATCATCATCTAGGTTTTATTTTCTGAAAGGTACCAATAAATCCCTTCCCTTTCTTATGAACAATGATGCACAGAGTGGCAGTTTCTAGAACATTCCTCTTTTCTTTCATTCTAAACTTAGGAGCTAGAACCCTGTGTATGGATGCAGGGTAATTACTATTCAGTCATTGATCAAGAAACAAGCAAATGAATGACAGATACATGGGATGGATTTAAGCAGCAGGCTGCAACTTTATTTAACACTGGGAGGGGCATTATGTGTCCTGTCTCCTATTCTCTCTTACCAGGAATTTAACCGGGTCCAATGCGATGTTCAGGACTCCCACCATACAACCAATAACTCAGGGCACATCTGCCTGGGCCTACACCCCATCCACACTGCCTGGTAGGTATTTCTTGCCTAATCCATTTGTTAAAGCCATGGAGTCAGTTGTTAGCTCCTGCATCTGACAAATGGACTTTGCTGTCCCTAAAAAAAGCTCAGGCCTAATATATTATACATCCTTGTGTGTGATCATGGAACCACCGAGGTTTGACTTTCTTCTGTTTAAATTATTGGGGGGGAGGGAGGAGGGAAACAGAAATATGGATCATGCTGACTAATACTAGGACTAAAATCAAACCCATGAGGCATGATATTTAATATCATGCTAGTAAACTCTTTGTTTACTCTCAATAGACTGATTTTGCTGGCAAGCATGCTGATCTAGGATCAGAGGACATCTGGAGTCCTCCATGTTATGCTGGTGGCTCTAATTCCACCCTTCATGTATTTCCATAATTACAACCCCACCTCCTTTGCTAGCGATGTTGCTGATAATGCGAATTAAAAAATCCACTATTGGGAAGTGCAAAGGGCTTGTCTCTACAAACACTTAGTTTGTGGTAAACTGGCGTGTACAGCTACTCCCACAGTAGTCTGTTGTGCACTGAATACCTGTGTAGATCCTGCTGCCATGCATTACAAGTTCTGTAGTGCATTTTGATCTACCCCTTCTTTGAAACAGGAATAGTTCAAAGCGCCTAGGGAACTTTTAATGATGGTAACAGAGTCCACACAGATAATTAGTGTAGGATAGCATTACACCCCAGCTTGCTACAAACTAATGTTCATACAGACAAGCCCTAATACTATGATGAATCAGGCATCTACTCCATCAGAAAGCAGACAAGCCACCTTTGCAGAACACCTGATTTCCACTGCCCTAGAAAGCATAGCTTCAGACGTCACTTTCTGACTAGTTGTAACACTTGGCACAGCATTTTAACTTCATATTTCTAGCCTTTGCTAATTAGGAATGCAGCTTTGAGAGGCATTCAGACCACAGCAGACTTACAGATTTAAATCCTGTATTACATATTTTATAAATCAGATAACCAGACTGCCTTTTTCATCATAAAACTGTAAAGACACTAACTTGATCAGTTACATAACTGACTAAACAGTTCTAATCTTTTCACTTTGAACAGCACATGCTTTATAAAACAGAAAAAGCTATTCTGTAGCGATCGCACAGACAGGGTATTTGATTCATTTAAGAAAAAATGTAAAATCACCTCAGATTCACTGAAGGAACAGAGCAATTTATAAACTAACCCTGGATTATAGGGGTTAGCATTGTACAACAATATTAAACTGCCTAGTTTAGTGTTCTAAAGCAGACTGAGTTTGCATTATAAGCCATACAGACCTTTCACTCAGCTGCATTTTGCTGTCTGAGGAGTCTACTTTTTATAGCACATATTAATAATACATTGAAACCATTTGTGTAGTGCTAAAGCACTGCAAATTTGTGTTTGCTTCTTTCTATATAGTATGCTGGTGAAGCACTCGATCAGTGAAAATGGATTGAACCCCAAGGCCAGGAATTCATCAAATTTATGATTTGATGAAGGTTATTATATTCAATTAATGGCTTTGCATATTGGCAGCCAATCATAAACATTAATTTAGTTAAGACTGATATTGAATTGTGTGTGTTTTCCTGCTTTGTTTCTTCTCCATGTTTCCTCCACCAGGCACATCTAACTCTGCATGTTTCCTTCCCAGTTCCCTCTTCCATCTCCATTGTTAAGGCTGACCACACTTAGAATGGGCAGCATCCAATATAATGAATATGCTACAGGGGGCAGAAATTATTTTCTGACAGAAACATGTCTTCAAAAGCTGAACGGGAATTTTAAAACCGGTCCATACATATACCAGACACTCATGATCATCATTGGTAGGCTCAGTTTCCAGTTGTGTGTTCTGGACTTGGAGTGTATATATCACAATTGCCAAACTCTCAGAACACAAATTTCAGAAGTGACAAATGATGATAGGAGTCACACAGTAACAATAACTGCCAATTATTTTGAAATGTTTTTGATTCAACTTTTTCTTCAATGACACAAAAAACAGCATTTATGTGCATGTGTGGGAAGGGAGATGAAAAGAATCACTTCAATACAAGTTCTCAGTTGAAGCCTGAATAACACAACCTATGTATGCGTCACCCTTTCAGATCACATAGTCCATGTTTATATAAACTTCAGCTAGAAAGATCACTTTGATATACTGCACGAGAGACTTAAAAGATTTATATCTTATCCATCATAGTAGTCTATTGGCTAAAAGCTATAATCAAATGTACTGTTTTCATTACAGGGATAAGAGACAACTTTCTCAACCAAAGAAGGCTGTAAAATAATCTATCAAAAAGTACAACCTTTTAGAGAGACTACTAATTATGATAAAACTAAATTTCACCACAAAGGTTCAAACAAACATACTCTTAAGTGTCATGTTTATGTATATGTAGAACAGGTTACTCGTAAGATACAGTAAGCCATGTTTAGTAGAGATGCTGTGTTTCTTTCTTCTTCCTGAATGTTTTAGAATTTATCCATACAATTTTAATATATAAATACAAAAAAGAGATAGTTACATATCCCTTCAAACAACAAAATATATTAATATATTTTCTGAAACAAGACAGAGCAGCTATATACACAAACACCATTTAGTTCTTCATTATCAGTAAGGATATGATTTAGTCACGGAGGTCACGGATTCCCTGACTTTAACTAACCTCCATGACTTCTTCGGCTTCAGCCCCCATTACTGCAATGAAGACATCAGCCCTTGTGGCTACATCGGAGGCTGTCAGCCCCCCACAACTGAGGCTGGAAGTTTCAGCCACTACAGATGCGGCAGAGGCTGGAGCCCCCCTAACTGGGTGGCAGAGCTCGGACTTCAGTTCCTCCCCCACAATTCTTAGTAAAATCACGGACAGGTCGCAGGCTTTTGTGAATTTTTGTTTATTGCCCCCGGCCTGTCCATGACTTTTACTAAAAATAACCGTGACAAAATCTTAACCTTAATTATCAGTGAAACCTCCTTAGAAGTCTGAATAAAACTACTTTTCATAACAAATTAGTCTTTTTCAATGCAGCAAACTGATTGCTGCCTCCTAATATTTCTAAGAGACACCAGCCACCATGACTGCATTTTGTTTACCTTGTTTGTGCACTATTATCAGTGCTATCAACTGTAAAATACATACTTCTACAGGCTAAATTCTGTTCTCAGCTGCACACTTAAATTGATTTCAACATCAGGCCCATGTCACGATTGCTCATTCAGGGGTAGAATTTGGCTTGAAAGACAGTGGGTGGGATTTTCAAAAGTGCTTAAGTAACTCATCAGCACCAGTCCCACTGAAAGTCAGTCACTCAGACACTTTGGAAAATTCCATCCAGTGTATTGACCAGGGCCGCCCAGAGGATTCAGGGGGTCTGGGGCAAAGCGGGGCAGCTGCGGCGCTTGTACTCACCTGGTGGCGGTCCGGGTCTTTGGCGGCATTTCGGCAGCGGGGGGCCCTTCAGTCGCTCCATGTCTTCGGTAGCACTGAAGGACCTGCCGCGGAAATGCCGCCGAAGACCCAGATCGCCGCCGGGCCAGGGCTCGCAGGGCCCCTGTGGGGCCCGGGACAAATTGCCCCTCTTGCCTCCCCCCCCCCGGCAGCCCTGGTATTGACTACTTGTTACAGGATAGCAGGAGGAACTAACTTTATGGTATGTAATACCAAAATAGTGGTTTACTTTTTATTTTTTTAATTTCTCAGATATTTTGCTACAAATAAGTTGCTCTTACTTTTGGGATCTCATTTTATTTCTCCCTTAAACCCCAAGCAGTGGAGAAATAGCAATTTTCAGAGTCAGAAGTTTTATGGGAGCACAAAAACATTGAAGTTTTATCAAATTAGTAGATCAAATTTGTTTTGGGGAAGCAGTACGTGACACACTAGTCTTCTCTTACTGTTCCAAAATTCTAGTAACTCTGGAGACTCAAAGCTATGCCATCTAACCATTCACTCTCCCCATATTTAACTATTGTAAGCAGGAACATTCTATGTCTATTCCCTGCCTAAAGAAAACATGTTGAACAAACAGCATAGTCAACTATTTAAACATACTACTTGATAGAACATCCACTTACTTTCTATCCCACACATGATCACCCCTGTGGAAAATAACCAGGTTATTTTTAGGGTCCAGGGCCAACCCAGAAACCTGGCCTAGTTTGAGGTTTACTCCAGGCCAGTCCACAGCCTCTTCTATGTGGAAATCTAAAAAAGAAATTCATGCAGCATATTTATGTGAAAATATGAAATTGGTAGAAAATCCACTGATTTATGATAGAAGGACATGCACATTTCCTTACATGCAATATTTCTATTAACTGTGTTGCCATTTAATTCCAAGCAGTAACTTTCTTATGATAAATATATATCATGCACAAGCAGTAGCATCCTGAGCTATGAAAAATGACAGAAAAATTGAGAACCCGCCTTTGATTTTATTCTCTTCTTCATCTTAATAGAATATATATATATATATATGTATATATATATATATGTATATATATATATATATATATATGCACAGAATATTGTTTTATTATCAGTTGTATATGTTCCTAGTACACTGAAAGAATGAATAAAATATATACAAAATTGCTATCTCGAATAATCAGCATATATAGTTTAGAGATAATTCTATTAACAACACATTAGTTTGGCATTTTTTGAAAATACTTTTAATGTTTTCCAGTTTAATTTTAATTAGAATGGTATCAAAAGTGGGCGACTGACAGCAAGCAGGGCAAGCCTATCATGTTTTTCAAAACAAAAATGTTCTATAAAAAACACAGGGAGGGAAGAAGCAAGCAGCACAAAAGAAAAACAATGATGTGGCCCAAACAAACTAGCAGTACCTTTCAGGATTTACTTATGTGCTTTTGGGAGTCAATCACCTCCTTTACTATGTATAGTCTGCATAGCCTGAGATCACATATTACATAGTCCCAAGTAATTTATTGACAAAAAGAGCTAGATATTATTATGAAGTATCTGAAAAGACCTAAAAAAAGGTGGGGTGGGGTAGGGAAGAAGGGAATATCTGTCCTCATTTATCTCATGACCCACTTTACTTCTGAGGACATAAATGTCTGGCAATTTTTATATAACCCAGATCTGATTTTGACACTATATATCAAAAGCATAGTAATATAACAAGAGAGCCATTCTACTAATTTGAGTCAGTCTCCTTGTTTGTACCAAAAGAGAAAAAGAAATATGAAACTAGGAAAATTAAAAAAATACTGGCTTTGGCTAATTTTGTTTGTGGTTTAATTTTTTATTTTTTTTTGTTTTTTGCTTTTACCTCAAATTTTCTGCAGTAACAAAATGATTTCAGTACTGAAGACTTTTTTTGAGAGGGCTGTTCCACCTTGTTCTTCAAGCAATGAAATTAAGTGAATCCAGGGACTTCTTGGCCAAAATAAAATAATTTAGAATCGCCTCTGAAATCCTTATGTCCCAAGATCTAGCATTAAACCATCATTTGGGTCTTATATTGTCCATCCCATCTTTTTCAGAAGCCATGCAATAGATATTGTTTCACAGATGTGATTGTCTCATTTTACAAGTGACTTACTTTTTCCTCTCATAAAAATAGAAAGACTTGAATTTTAAAAACATACTCCTCTAGAGAAGCAGATGTCATACAGAAATACAATTTATTTTCCTATTGCATGATGTCTGTGTGTCTGTAGACAAATAAACAATACTGAACACCAAACAATATTTGCAATAGGAAAATAAATTGTATTTCTGTATGACATCTGCTTCTCTAGAGGAGTATGTTTTTAAAATTCAAGTCTTTCTATTTTTATGAGAGGAAAAAGTAAGTCACTTGTAAAATGAGACAATCACATCTGTGAAACAATATCTATTGCATGGCTTCTGAAAAAGAAGAACCATTAGAACATACAAGAACAGATCCACAGGGCAATGGTTTGCCATAGTTTACATTTAATTTTATTTGCAGTAGTGCAGATATTAAATCAAAATATGTTATTGTAAATACCCACTTTTAAATATAAGCTCTACAGTCATTGGATCAGTTCCTTCTTGCGTAATTTTGAAGGGAAAGATCACCCCATTACAAAATATTACAGCTGGATTTTTTCCTCTATGGCAATACAGGAAAATGGTAAAAAAGTTTAATGAGGCAGCATTATATTAAAAAGAATACCTTAACGGCAAATATCCACAAAGCAACACTTCATGATGTGCTGGAAAAGTTTCTGTACGCATGAACAAACAGAGAATCGCCACTCATTTTTTCGCGTAGGAGTTTTTCTTGCTTAAAAATATTTTCTATAGGGAGAAGGGGAGGGCAAAGGGAGATGACAGGGGAGGCTCCTCTTTCCCCAAAGGGCTTGAGTTAATTTTCCTCTCTTATTTTCTGCATGGTATAGTTTCCCCTCGGGCAGCTGAAACCAGAACCCTGTTCTGCAGACTAGGCTACTGAGAACAGCAGAATGAGGAAGGAAAATAAAAAATTAAACATAAAACTCTTCCCCCCCTTTTTTTTTCTTTTGCAGGGTAGAGTGAGGTGTCCCCTTAGCTCTTCTTTTCCTTCTCACACTTTTTTCCACAGGTAGTGTCATTAAATTGAGCCTGAGGGAGCTCAAGGTGAAGAAGGCCCCACCCATACCTGTCTCCTGCACTCTCAGCAAGATCTATTGCTCAGTCATAGTCACATCTTGATTCCATTTCTTTTCCCCCAAAACCTTGTTCTTTTGGTGCACTTTCACTTAGTCAAAATCAAAAGAAGTTTAGCATAGCAGAGGAAAATGAAAATAGTATGGAAATAAGTAACTACACAAGATTACTGAACTAGATTATAACACAGTTTGGCCAGCCCATGTGGACAGAGCCAAATCATGTTATAACTGGGTTTAAGTTGATGTGTTCACCTCTAGGTCTCTCTCTGCATAAGCACAAGTGATAAGCCACTGTTGAAAGGTCTGAGTAGATGGGGTGAGAGACTTTTACGACTTGAGTGTGGAGAAACAAGAAAGAACAAATATGTTATATAGGAATTAAAATTACATAGATCTCTCATTCAGCACAGTTTTTGACATGGCACTAAGATAATAAATTTGATCATATTTGCAAGAATCAACAATTTAAGAGTCAAGGACAAATATCTTGGAGCCTGGTTTTGTCTTCCACCTTCCATTTGCTAGGCGACTCTTTACTTCATCTCAGAGGAGGATCCAAGTCAGAGTGATCGAGGTATTCTTCACTTGCAGATAGCAATTCATTGTATCCAAGACCAATGTTGGAAACAATACAACTTCTCTGGCTTGCACAGAACATGGTAGCCAGCTTCTCAGTGGTGTAAAGCCATTGTGAGCACATCACCCTGTACTCTGCATCCTCCATTAGCTCAGCTCCAAATCTACTTGTTTTACCAGTTCAGGGTCCTAGTTATAATCTTCAAAGCCATGAATGGTTCAGGACCCAGCTATATCAACCACCATATCTCTATCCATGACACAACAAGATAGATGCAGTTTTAGATAATGCAGAGAGATTCATAGATTCCAAGGCTGAAAGTGACCAGTGTAATCATCTAGTCTGACCTCCCATATAACACAGGACATAAATTTTTCCCAAAATAACTACAGCTCATCTTTTAGAAAAAATAATTAATTGCATTTAAAAATGGTCAGTGATGCAGAATCCACAACAACCCCTCGGTAAATTGTTCCAATGGTTAACTACTCTCACCGTAAGAAGTTTAAGCCTTATTTCCTGTCTGAATTTGTCTAGCTTCAACTTCCAACCACTGAAACATGTTATACCTTCTCTGCTAGACTGAAGAGCCCATTATTAAATATTTGTTCCCCCTGTAGATATCTATGGACTGTAATTATGTCACTTCTTAACCTTCTCTTTGTTAAGTTAAATAAATTGAACTCTTTGAGTTCATCAATATAAGGCAGGTTTCTAATCCTTTAATAATTCTTGTGACTCCTTTTTGAACCCTCTCCAATTTAGCAACATCTTTCTTGAAGTTTGGGCACCACAACTTGACACACTATTCCAGCAGCAGATGTAAAATAACTACAGATGTAAAATAACTATTGAATTTAATCGGAATATTTGTGTGAGTAAATGCTACACACTCAAGATGGAGAGTGAAGTGTAACTGAAGTTCTTATGGGTGCTCCAAGTCAGCATCTGCACACACCCGCACATTCTTGATTGGATTTTTTTTTTTTAAATCAGCAGTGTCTGTGGGTCCACGCCTGTGCCCTAGATACCCCAATGAAGGTAATTAGGGAGTGGATGGGCTCACCACCACTACAGTTCCTTCTCAACCATGAAAGTCCAGTGAAAGACTCTGAGGCAGTGGGAAAGGACAGTGCACCCACAGGGATACATCTAGAAGAATTCCAGTTAATGTACAAGGTAAGCGACTTCTCCTTTTTTGCGTAGAGTCCCTATGGGTGCTCCACATCAGGAGATTCCCAAGCAGTATCTCAAATACAGAGGAGGGGGACACTGAGCAGGTGGATTCAGTACGGATCATAGAACAGCACCACTGAAAGCCGCATCAGATCTGGAAGCAGGCAAGAGAGTGCAGTATTGGGAAAATGTGTGCATCAAAGACCAGATGTCTGAGATAGGCCTGTTTTTCTGTAGAGTAACAGAGGTAGATTGAGCCCCAGTGGATGAACAGTCACTCTGGAGGGAAGAGAGTGAATGCCTGAGGCTTCTTAACAGATTAAGGTGTATTCTGCAACCCATTTGTACTGTCTTTGGCTGGAAATCAGATGTCCTTTCTTTCGTTCTGCAACTGAGATGAAAAGCCTACATCAAGTCCTACCTGTTGAGGTAAAAGGTGAGAGCTCTTCTTAGGCTCCTTTCTCCTCTCTATGAGTGGGGCTTAGGATAAAACATCGATGGGTGAATTCCTGATTAATGTGGAATTCTGAAATAACTGTAGGTAAGAACCGAGGTTGTGGATATAGCATCATCTTACTGCAGCAGAACACTGTGTACGGTGGTCAGTCAAAGCTCCAAGCTCCCCTACCCTCCTGGCTGAAGTGTTGGCTATGAAGGAGGAGGTCTTAAGGGATAAGATAAGGAGAGGACAGTTCTTAAAAGGTGGATTTCCTCAGTGCATTGAGGACTAAGTTAAGGTCTCATGGTGGAGTTGGCTTCTTGATAAAATGGGAAGAGGTTGAACAGGCCTTTGATAAATCTCTTAGTGGTTGGGTAGATGAAGACTGAAAACCCTTTGATGGGGTAAAAGCTGTAATAGCAGCTAGGTGAACCTTAATGGAGCTCAGTGATAAGCCTGTGGTTTTTAAATTCAGCAGGTAAATTGAGAATGTGTATCAGATAAGACTCTAGAGGAGATGTAGATGGGTGGCTGCACCAAATATGGAAGCATTTCCACTTCTGCAGGTAAGTTTTTTCTTGTTGTGGGTTTTCTACTTTTAAGCACCGCTGGGGACAGACCTGTTCTATATCAGAAAGCCATTCAGTAGCCATGCCTTGAAGTGAAATGTCAGGAGATTGGGTTGGGTGATGGATCACAACTCCTGGTGAGGGTATTTGCTCAGGGGAAGGTGGAGAGGTAGTTGCAGAGACACGCAAACCACCTCTGGGAACTACACTTGGCTACTATTTTTTTCTTGTTTTTCTTGAGGACTGAAGGTTTCATGAAAGCCTTTATATAGCAGTACACAAGGCCAAAGAATGACTGGGGCATCTCCTATTGCATTGTGGCCGCATCCTCCCCTCGAGCAGAAACGTATTGGATGGAGTTGCAAAGAGATCTATCTATGGATGATCCCAAGTAAGACATACCTCTTAGAATACCTCGTTGTACAGCTCCCACTTGTGGGTTGATGTGGAAATGCCTGCTGAAGTAGTCTTCCACTGTGTTCTGTAGTCCTGGCAGACAAACCATTGATATCTGTATGCTGTGCGATATGCACCAACTCCATAGTTTTATGGATTTGGCACATAAGGACCTGGATCTTGCTCCTCCTTGTCGATTCATAATACTTTGCTGCTTGGTTGTCTAGTATCATTCTGACTGAGTGATCCCTGATGTAGGGTAGCAAGTGCTGGCAAGCATAACAAACTGCTTCAAGCTCTAACATGTTGGTATGAAGGATTGACTCCTGAGAAGTCCATTTGCTCTAAACTGTGAACTTTCGGACATGTGCACCCCATCAGATCAGGGAGGCATCAGTAACGATGATCCTTGTCAGAGGAGGCTTCAGGAACAAAACTTCCATGCAAACATTTTGTGGAGCCTCCACCAATTTAAAGAATCAAGAACCCTCCAACGTACAGACACCTGCTTGGATAGATTGTGCTTGTTGAGGGTACAGATAGTTCTCAGCCAGGCTTGAAGACACCGAGACTGTAATCTTCCTAAGGGTGTCAGAAATGTACAGGTTGCCATATGGCCCGAGAGTTGTAGGCAAGTGCTTGTTGTGGTTTGTGGGTTCTGTTGCATTGTTGAAATGAGGCTGGACATTGTGGCAAATCTGTCCTTGGGCAAGTATACGCTGGTGGTGATGGGGTCCAGAGTGGCCACAATGAAGTCTATTAGTTGAGGGGTGTGAAAGGAGACTTTTCAGCATTGACGAGGAGGCCCAGAGAGTGAAACAGAAATAGGTCCATGCTGGTTGCTGCCCATACCTTGAGAAGTGAGTGACCTTTCAGGAGCCAATCATTCAGCTAGGGAAAGACAATTTATATCTGGTGAAAATGGGCCATGGCGGCTGAGAGCACTCTGGTACAGACCCTTGGAGCAATGCAGCAGCTGAAGGGTAGGATGTGATATGGGTAGTGGTATCTGCCTACCACAAAACAAAGGAAACTTCCGTGAGAAGGTTGCATAGTGATATGATATGCATTGGGACAGTTGAGGGAGACAAACCAATATCCTGGGTCCAGAGAAGCACCTCCTGCCTCAAGAGACTCTTGCGAGAAGGATGCCTGAAGAGGGAAAGGGTGGGGCCACAGAAAGAAGCTGAATTGGATGGAGTAACCTGTGGAATTATCTCCAGGATCCACCTGTCTCAGGTGATGAGCTCCCAGGAAGGTAGAATATGGGAGAGATGATCCCCATAAGGGTGGATGGGGGATAGGTGCAGCATAGAAACTGGAGTTGGAGAGAGTTTGGGATTGGGACCCTCAACCAATGGGACAAAATGGTTGTTTTGAGGCAGTCACTGACTCAGTGGTCACGACAGAGAATGGATGGCCCTTTCTTAGTGAACCTGGGTTTCGTCCTAGCCAGTTCAGCCACCTTATGGGCTGACAGTGGACTGGGCGAGACTGCTGAGCCATCTGCAATCTACTGTATTTTCTCTGTTGCAAAGTGTATAGATGCCCATAGATCATAGTGTCACCCAAGAGTCTGAGAGAATGAAGGGATCCATCTGTGGCATCACTAAACAATCTGGGCCCTTTGAAGGGAAGGTTCTGAATGGTATTTTGTACCTCTCAAGGGAGGCCAGAGGACTGCAGCCAAAAAGCTTGGGGCATGACTATTACCGTAGCCATGGAACATGCAGCAGTATCAGCAGCATCGAGTGAAGCCTGGAGAAACATCTTGGCAATTGTCTAGCCTTCTGTTCTGAGGGTTTGAAATTGTTCCCTCTAATACTGAGGGAGGTGTTCGATAAAAGTTAAAAATTTTGAATAGTTTGTAAAATCGTATTTTGCTATCAGGGCTTGTTAACTGGCTACTCTGAATTGCAAAGAGACTGAGGAATAGTTTTTGAGGCCCAGAAGGTTCAGTTGTTTTAGCCCGTTGCTTGTTTGTTTCGTTAATGGCCTCGACAACCAGGAAGTTGGGTGTACGGTGGGAGAAAATAATACTCCAAGCCCTTGGGTGGAATGTAATATTGTTTTGTCAGCCTGTTTACAGGCAGGCGGTATAGCAGCTGGAGTTTGCCACGCCATATGTGCTGGGGCCAGGAGAGCATCATTGATGGGCAAGGTGATTTTACCTTGAGGAGATGTATGAAGGATGTACAACAGGGAATGCTGGGTTTCCTGTATACCCTCCAACGGAATATGTAGGGCCACCAGTATTCATTTCATAAAGTTTTGAAAGGCCATGACATCATCAACATAAGATGGTGGGGGAGGCATGCCAGTCTCATGTGGTGAGGAGGATCATCTGTGGGAAGGTGGTGTTTCTTCTCTCTCATCTGGGTCTTGCTCCGCTGTAAGATCCTCCTGGGGAGCAGAACCCAAGCGTGGCTGTTGTTGCTCCTGACATGTCCTCTTATGAGATGGGACCTTGTAAAACTGGTTGTCATAAGCGGCTGCAATAAACCCACTGTGGTGGGGCATGAAGAATGAGGGCAGGGTCCCAAAGTTGTTCTTGCGAAGGTTGCTGGGTGAATCTCCTGCTGGGAGTTTCCTCCACAGGGAGGCTATAATGTGGAGGAATCTTGTATAGACCTCAGAATTGGATGAGAGGTCATCACTATATCTATCAAAGGGTCAAGTGATGCTGGTACCAGTGGTCAAGTCAGTACTAGGGCCCAAAGAAGGTCCTGTCATTGTACTGGTAATGGAGGTCAATGGTTGGTTGGCTAGTGAGACTTTACCAGAGGATGTTGTGTCAGTACCAGCTGGAAATACCTCTCTGTACCTTACAGAACTTTGCATGGGACTGGTGATCATGTTGGTACCAGAGGATGAGTACCGTTGAAGATGGTAGTATCGGAGGGTAAGTAGCTCTGGGAGGTTAGTTAATACTTATGGAGAGTCTCTTGGTACCCCTCAGTAATGGTGATTCAGGCTCTGGATAATGGTGACTCTGGTAATGGTAATGGTGACTTTGGATAGGGACCGCATAGGAGTCAGTATGTCAGGGCTACCAAAGTGCAATTGGTGTGCCCTTCAGGCTTGGCTACAGAAGACAGTATCAGTGACTACTTCAGCTGGGCTTTGGAATCCTTGAGTTTCAAAGGCCACTCTAGGTTGTTGGTTCTTCTTGGTGCATGGTGTGGTAGTCTTAGCCGGTGCCATGATCCAAAGGTGATGGGAGCCCATATCGGGACATGAAGTCTCCTGAGACCCACTGAGGGGGTGACTTTCCCCTTCTCTTGTCCCAGGAGAATGTGGTCTTTTCTTCTTTGATGGTCTGGGTGGTTCTGTTTGCTTACTGTTGTGGCAGAGATGGTTGCTGAGACTCTCTGAGCAACCAGATCCAAGCAACAAGGAGTGTGAATCAGACCCCCAGGCCTCAGAGAGCACTCCATCAACAAGAGTTTAGTCTGTCCTCCCTTAATTTCTTAGGTTTGCTTTTAAAACCTGGAGAGGACATGAGTCTCTCGGAGGCAGCTTGAATGTCTGTTGCTGCAGGGGAAGACCTACGGCAGGTCTGGCAGGGTTTGAAGCCTGGGGTTTTGGGCATAACTGGTGCTTGAGGCTGTGGATCAAGGCCTGAGAAAAAAAACAAAGGCCCAGTAAATGAGGAAGGGAAGGGAAGGGAAGGCCCTCCCTTCCCCCCCCCAAAAGCACAAATTGTGCTAAATAACAAAAAATAAAGAAACTACAAAAGAAAAGAAAAAAATAGATTAAGTGAGATAACTAGCTACACAGCATGCTACCTAACGTACACTGTGACACTCTGTCTCAAGCTGCAGGTGGCTGAGACAGAAACTGGAGTGGCAGTGTGTCTGCCCCCTCCCTTCATTCACTTGTAGCAGAGCACAAGGGTGTCTAGGGCGCAGGCACAGACCTGCGGACACTGCCGACGAAAATCTCTGAGAAAGCATGCAGGGGTACGCAGACGTCCTGATATGGAGCACTCATAGGGATATTACTTGAAGAAAAACGTAATGATGTGTGTGTCTCACACACACACAGACACAGATTATTTACCAATTCAGGTAAGAAAAATATTGAGATATAGATATAAAAAAAGCAGAAGTAAAATATTACTGAAATTAAAACTTAAAAACTTGAAGTTAAACTAATACTAAATATCAATACTATTAAACAAATACAACTAAGAGAAAGTGGGTATAGTGCTAAGAAACCTTAAGTGTTTCAAGTTTATCTGAGTTACGTACTTGACAACAGGATCTGGCAACTAAGCATGTAAAGTTTAGTGTGATTTTTGTTTTATTTTTGCAGTATCTTCATCTGCAGCCACAGCATAGGATGGTACCATTATTATTTTTTTTAAACTACATAAATACAAGAATTAAAATAATTTTGCATCCAATGTATCTAGTTGCTTCTTTCCAAATTGAAATCTGCTACTGAGAAGCCACACAATATTTCATGTTAGTGTGCATAAATACTTTCCCTTCCAGAGAGTAAATGTGTGATTAAAGATTTTTCACTTTATTATAACCACTTTTGCCAAAAGATGGCGCTGATAACTTCCTTGTAGTCCAGAATTTCTGTGAATAAGCAGTGCTGTATAGATTTAAAAGGGAAAATAAACTTTGATTTTAAAATATTTAAAGAAAACATATCAATTTTGCTTCTCTTGTTTCAAAAACTTGCAGGCAGGTCAACTGTCCAAAGTAACCTCCCCCCCACCCTCCCAGAAAAGCAAACAGCCAAACAAAAACCCAAAATGAACCAACCAACCAAATCCTATACTTGCAACCAAAAATATTAATGCCACAGCAATACTGAAAACAAGTTGCTGCTTCTTTCTGTAATCAGGACTCACACTAAATGGTGCAGCAAGTCAGCATTTTATTCAGTTCACTGACATTCACCCACTCAATCAATTAAAATGAAAGGGAACTTACTCTAACATTTCTCTTTTCAAAATCATATTTCTTAACCTTCTGGACCTAGAGAATTTATTTTGCAGGAAAATACGTGCTTCTTGGTCATATGGCCTGATTTTTCATACACTAGTACCAGTTGAACTTCACAGTCTTTAATGGTGCTCTTCCTGATTTACACTTGCATATGGGAGAAGAAAATCAGGGCCATATTAGTGAACATTCCTCAACCTTTCCTCCCTGCCTCTCTTGCCAATAACTGTGGCTGTATTTCATTTAAAAGCAAGTAGCAACACTTAATACTAGAAGTCCATATCTCTGGTCTTCTATTAAATATTAAATCCTGTATTTAGCGATTATTACACTATATTTGAACTGCATGTGAGCAGAAGGCATTCCATACTCATATTTTAAATTGCAAATAAAAAATCAAATGGATGATGAATAATTTATGTTTGTAAGGAAAATGTATTTGGAAACAGCAAGCTGGCTGTTTGCAACATAAAGGCAGCCTGTACTGCTACATCTCACACACACAAATGGCTGCCATGCATACATAACAGATACTCTTCACATGCTGTATTATCTGCCTTTCCACATTAGCGAGACTAAACACAATCAATATCACAGAGACCACAACACAAGTAAAACAAATATGCTTTTATTGTTTTTGCTGTCATAGAAACCTGAAGGGAATGAGTTTTAATCTGCTAATTAGAGTAGCCAATCCTGATTTGAAATAAAGAAATAAATATTGACTTTCTGGACCATTCCTCAATAACAACAACTACTTTTCTTCATTTAAAGAAAAATAGTTAATGGAACTACAAGAAATAAAGCTTGTACAATCTTGATGTTTGACAAGTCAAGTCAGCTGAAAAAAGTCAACAAGCTCGCCCATTAGTCATTTCAATGAAGCCAGTTGCATAAAGGGAAAAATAAAACACCTTAATTCACTACTATATCCATAGTTGTTTACTTCAATTTAGCAGAATGCCAAATTAACCACAATTTGTTCAACCCTCAATGTTTCAATTTAACAGCCCCAAAAGTGAACTATTTGGATCTGATTATTCTAACTCAATTTTTCCAGTAGACTATAGCCACTCTTGATAATGGGAGGGAAAAGTTTATGATTTATGTAATCATGAGAGATGTAAAAAGACAAATTTCATAATTACATCTTTTTGTGAAATTATTTCAAGCATCAACTGATATTCCCTTCAGATTTTGCTAATGTGGATCAGAGCTCTTACTTTGCAGTACATTACTTAAAATGAATCCCTAACCCACCTCCAGTATGTTCTTTTTCCCAGCTTCCCTCATCACGTTGTAAAGAGAAATGCCTGTTCTCTGGTGGCCTCAAGGTGGATTCTAGTCTGTGAAATTTGTGAATTCTGTTTCTGGCGAGACTAGTATTGGCCCTTTCATCGTGATTTGTAACCTCTCTGGCATCAAACCAGCCAAGATCCTTCTTTTGGACTACATTAGCAATCTCAGCTACAAGATCTGATTCTGCCTTTTCGGTAGGATTATACTTATGCACATGAACAACATCTTCCCTTTCTCCTAGCAGCTTGGAAATGAGTGAATAGAAATCACCTGTACAGAAAAGAGAAAAGATAAGAGGAGGAGGGGGGGAGATTATAATAGATTATAAAGTTTTCTACAGTTTTAGCAAACTACAGTAATATAAAAGTATTCATACAGTCATTGGTATGGCTCGTGCACGAAGGAACTGTTTTCAGTCTTTCATAGATTTGAATGAAGAAAGCCTGTGGCATGAAGAGATATCAACCCTTTATTATCCTTAATTTACATAATAATGTCCAATTTTTCCTGACATTTCAGGATCAAAAAAGAGCACATCAGCTCTCTAAAGATGTTCTTGGGAACAAAGGAATGCGTCCACGATTTCAACAAGAATTTCAATAAAGGATATTTACAGAGCACTCTGCTGGATTTAGAAGCCAGAGTACTGCAGAGATATAAAAGAAAGATGAGAATTCCGTAGTCTTGTCAATTTGATCATTTCTGAAGTCAATAATGAAAATAGGCATACATTTCAAAATATCTTTTTTTGAAAAGTATTATTGCTTAAGAAGCCCAGGCTACAAGAAAGAAAACCTAATCTGCAATAATGTCAACGTAACGTGCTGCAGAAAGCAGACTCACTAGCTACAAGATATATTTACAGACAGACAATTTTTAACTAGATATAGTAGCATTCTTCAGTCCATTACTGCAGATTGCAGAAGACTCCTTCCTAAAAATCACTCCCCAAGCAAACAGGAAGCAGTTGTACATACAGTATTATAACAAATCAGCATGCTTTCCCATAACCTACCATGCCTGTATCAAGTTCTAGAATGTTGGCCCAAGAACATAGAAAAAGAAAAATTAACCTACGTGTAAAATGTAGATTTTTTTTTTGCCAAAAATCAGTTTTAACCACACTGATTTATGTTTAATCTTGTAAAAAGACTTAAAATGGTGACAATGAGGGCTATCCTTAGGGATTCTGCTGCCCTAAGCCAAACTAGCTTTATATACTCCACCAGCTTGCAGTCACCCACACAATAACTGAACATTTTATTGCTCTAAGCAAATGTCAGTTCTGTCTGTATGTTAGAGACACAGGGGAACAGATATTCAACTAACAAATTATGCTTTTAATTTGTGGTAAATATATAGCGATGAGTCCTTTCATTTAATTCTACGTATACCTAATGAAGAGATAACTTATGATTAAGGAATTCATTATTTAATTTTTAAATTACAGTTATAGTGCCAACACATTTTAAAAAAAGTTTTGTATTAAGTAATAGGAAGTCAGAATGATAACTGTCTAAGGCCTGGTCTACACTAACCCCCCAAGTCGAAGTAAGGTACACAACTTCAGCTACATGAATAACGTAGCTGAAGTCGACATACCTTACTTCGAACTTACCGCGGTTCAGACGCGGTCCACATGGGGCAGGCAGGCTCCCCGTCGACTCCGCGGTACTCCTCTCGTTGAGATGGAGTACCGCAGTCGACGGCGAGCACTTCCTGGTTCGATTTATCGCGTCCAGACCAGACGCGATAAATCGAACCAGGAAGTTCGATTTCCAGCCGCCGAACTAGCGGCTAAGTATAGACCAGCCCTAAGCTTCAACTCATTCACTGATAATTCATGATCATTAACTTGGTATGGGGAAAATTAAGTCTTTCAAAAAAACCCTAAGAGATTCTGTCATGTTTATAAACGGTCCTGGTTCAATGATTTCAACTAGGCTTCCAATCTCTGGTCTTCAAAGAGGAATATCCCAGGTGAAAACTTCTGTCAGATAATAATTGCTGAAGTAATAGGGCCAATTTCAGCAAAATGAACAAAGCAAATTAGACCTGAACAAAATTTGTTATGCCATCTATGCTAGTATGTCTCATAGAACCTATTCTAAATGGCAGCCTATTGCTAAATTCAACTAACTTGTCCAAATGCAGATTTACAAACCAACAACCCCAGACATTTAAAAATACATTTAAATAATCAGCTTTGCATACAATATATATTTATTCTTCCACAGGGTCTATTTGGGTTTGTACCTGGGGCAGTTAGCACGGGCCGGCATTCCCATTACCTGTGCTACTGCAGATACACTACTATTTTTTGTCCATTATATTGTACTCCATGAAGGTAAGAAGGGCTCAAGTTGCTGGAATCTTAGGCAAACAGAAAGGAGGGCTTTATTTCTGGCTAAAAGGCAACCGCCTGTCAGCACAGTCCTAATAATTCTGAATCACATTTGAGCAGCGTTCTTTTCATTTTAGTTTCTGCTCTTCAGCAGGGATTGCCTGGAGCAGCAGTTCTCCATCAGGGGTCTGAGGTCCCCTGGGGGGCTACAAGCAGATTTCAGGGGATCTGCCAAGCAGGGCCGGAATTAGACTCACTGGGGCCCAGGGCAGAAAGCCGAAGCCCCACTGCCCCAAGCCCGGCCACCCTGGCTTGAGCAGCTTAGCTTCATGGAGGCCCCTGTGGCCTGGGGTGCCAGGCAATTGCCCTGTTTGCTACCTCCTATTGACGGCCCTGACACAGATGTACCGTGCAGTTTTTATAGCATGTTATGGGGGGGCCTCAGAAAGGAAAAGGTTGAGAATCCCTGGCCTGGAGCAAGCCTACTTGCACCTATTGAGGCTCTGGGGGAATGGGCAGACGCAGTGGAGACAGAACAGGAACTGTCTGGGTCTTATGAGACTTTGACACACCCCCTTCCTGCCACTGACTAACAGGACTACTTATACCTCTAAAGCTACTAATAGGGTGAAGGCCTGCTGCATGAAATCAATATGAGGATCTGTGGATCTGAGTATGAAAGAGAAAGACTTAACAGCAGAGCAAACATCCAGTAGTGACTGAAATAGAATCCTTGAGGCATGGCCATGTGGTCTAAGGAGATACTACAAGTAAGCAAGAATCACATTTAAGAGGGCTGGGAAAAGGTACGTCAAAGAGTCCAAGGGGAAGAAGCATCTGTTTGAGAAAGAAAAATTAAAGAACCCTGGGAAAAAGGGGTTGGGTAGAAAAATCTGTGTCGGAGAGGTTACATGTTTTTTGAAGGAGGGAGGAGGACAGGAGTGATATTATACGGGGAGATCTTGGTGGATCAGTAAATTGTCTGGATCACTACCGGTAGCTGGCATATCGATTATCATGCTTACCGCCAAAAACAGTCTGATCAATAGGCCTTTAGTGGGCCTATGCAGCATCCTTAGCACAAGGAAGGAAGCTTATCTATATTTGTCCTCTGGGATGTGTTTGTCAGGACCTTCAAGCATGTGGACTTCACAAAAACACATCTGTCTAATTAATGGTCTCAGGAAACTCCTTGCTTAACCTTTGAAATTGCTTACTTGACCAGTTTTTTTGATTGATATGTTATTGTCACACTAACACAATAAATAAGGGAGGAGAAGTTTGGGCTAGTTGCATCACCTCATGGACACATCTGAGGGTCCCCAATGGCAGGCAGAAGAAATGCCATCGGATGTCTGTCGCTGTACCACTCGAAAACCGCTCCAGACTTTGGTAATTGAGGATTGTCGTGTTTTTACTACCCTGTTGTATATGTGTGTAAGTGCTTGAGACTAAATACAGTGTAGCTTTAAGTAAGAGCACTCTTGTATTATACTGCTTGTGTCAAACATGATTTATTTCCTGCCACTGCCTTGCCAAGAGTAAAAGTTACCAAGAGCTTTATGTTCAGAAAACCCCAGGTAACAATATGGCTATGTATGAGAGAGATTTTAATGAATTTGCATTCCAGTCAGACTTAATCCATGTCATTGCCTGTGCTACTCAATTTGAGACTACATTTACTAAAATATATTTTTACAATCTTCAGATTCAGAGTTTCTTTTAAAAATCTAGTTTTGCTATTTTTTAAAACAAAAAAGTTACCTTCATCCACTTAATTATTTTCCTTAATATAAAATGAGGTATCATTCTAATATAAAATATTTTCCTTGACAATGTGGTTCACATTTGTGTCATGCTTTTACTGCAATGCCTCATGGGGCAGGCACAGTGTCACATGATGCAGGTTTCCCAATCCCATTGTTCCATGGGCATCCTTCTACATTGCCAGCTGCTTTACAACTGAAGTGTGTGTGGGGTGGAGTGAGGGGGAGAGTGTGAGACAGGGAGTATGTGTGTGTAGGGAAGGGGAGAGAGAGACAGTGTGTTTTGGGGGACAGAGTGTGTGTCAGCAGGCTGTCTTGTATGTTCAGACAGCAGCAGGAAGCAACCAGTCCTGAGGCAGGGGGAAACCCTGACATCAGCCCCTGCCTCCCTCCCTGGGCTCTCTGCACAGCAAACACACACACACACACACACACACACTCTCTATCTCTCTCTCTCTCTCTCTCTCTCTCTCTCCACATTAATGGTTTGCTGTGTGTCCTGGAGAAGATCAGCACAGCACGCAAGGGCTGTCAGAAATGGTGCTTTGAAAAGGGAGAGGCACATGTCTCCAGCAGTCACTTGAGGCATTATGGGACAGCTCCAGAGGCCAATTACAGTGCAGAAAGCAATCAAGTGTCTGCACTGGCAATAGAGCTCTGGAGCCTCTGCGCAAATAGCCTTACAATTCTCACCGAGGTGGTGTTTTTGCAGTGATGCAACTGAGGAATTTCTGCACACAAAGTGGCTTGGCAGCATGTACACATCTGCAGTTTGAGCGCAAAAAGCTGCTTTACTGCGCAGAAACTTGCCAGTGTAGACAAGCCCTGAAACATCCCATTTAAACTGAGTACTTGTTTTATTATTCTTTCTCTGCTCCTGGAATATGCAGTCAAGTCCCACTCCCATGACTTTCTCTGCTCTAATTCTCTCTTGGATCACTGGCAATCTGGTTTCTCCCCTTTCTACTACACTGAAACGGCATTTGCCAAGGCCATCAACAACCTCCTTCTGATCTAATCAAAGGACTTCTCTGTTTTTGTCTTCCAGCAGCCACTTTCAGCATTGTCAATCTGCATCTCATTTTTTAGCATAATACCATTATGTAAAGTCCTGGTTCTCCTCCTCCTCTAACTCCAGCATTTTTCAGTGGCTCCACCTC